ATCATGAGTGCATCGTTGTATGTGTTTCTGTTGTTTGTTCTGAATGATGATGATGAACGTTCTTTTCCGTTTGTTTGAAAAATTTGCGCGTGTAGATAACGTGTGTAATTTTGTTATGTATTTATACGCATTGTTCTGCATGTACGCATCAACATCTACTTATTGTAGCGTATGAAAAAAAAAATAGGCCTACGTTAATTTTTAATGCATAAAAATAAATTCGTTTTTTAATCACTTATTTAATAATTAATTATCTAAATTACTTGATAAATTATTTATTAATATTAAAATATTAGAATATTTATGTGTACAATGTAGATAGTATATAATAGTAAGAAATAAGACAGTTTTATGGTAGAATATAGCATAGTAGGTAGGTTTAAGAAATAGGAAAATATTATTCTCAGGATGTATTAAATAGTATAGATACAAAACATAATTTTTATACAGTATGCAAAAGTCAACTAATAAACAATTAGTAAAATAAAAATAATCTAACAATGGCAAAATAAATTATGGAAATGAAGAAAATCCACTCCACATAAGTAAACTGTAAGTTACGAAAAAGAAATGTAAATAAATAAACAAAGCAAGAAAACAGATAATTAATTCATAAACTTTCTGGGTTACTTTTTAGCATTTACTTTTGGAGTTTAAAATTAAGATTACAGGGCACAGATTATTTTCTTATTCTAAAAGTTTAATTAGATATGAATACAAAGTACAAAGAGGGAGCTATAACATTTTCTCTACACAACACAAATAAACAAAAAGTTGACAATAAGACTAGAGAGCAGCATTTATTCACTTAGCAATAACTGATCACATACTGTAGACTATAGTATCATTCTTGAAAGAAGACAAGATACAATGCATTAGGCAAGACTTTTTTTATATTCCTTGTTTTGCGTACTTCTCTTTTTAAAGATTATCGGAGGAGGGCAGAATAAAAATAAAATTTCATTTTCTTATTTAACAAATAGTTTTGCCAAAATCATCCAGACAGATGAGAAACTGAAAATAAATTTTATTGTTGAACGTAAAATAGGATGGTTGAATGCTTCAAATTTACATAATTTGAAAAAAATATATGTATCTTTTCTTTGGAGATTTCAAGGCAGTGGAGGGCATAATAAAAACAAAGAAAATTGTTATTTTTTTCTGAAATTTCTATTTTTTCGTGGCGGCCTATTTGGCCAAAAATAAAATGCTATTTTTATTCGCAATCATCAATATTTGCGTTCAGCAGGTTCACTTTTATAAAACAAAGGTATAAAAAAAATTCTTGCCTTGTATGAACAATCTGAAACTTTGTAGACTTTGCGAGATATTGCTTTTTTAGTGTGAGTTGTCTAGGTGCAAAATTTAGCTAAAAACATGCAGCCTTTGTTTTTGTACCAGGAACATGCGCTTTGTCCTGCATACCTTGCATACCATTTTAACATTTTTTCTTGAAAAAAGAACATTTAAATATCGCTCAGTTAAATTATGGAATAATTTATCATCAGACGCTCATAGCAATATTCATTCCCTTTCCTTACAATCCTTTAAAAATCTCATTTAATTTAACAATTTGTTTTTCTTTTCTGTTTCTTGTATTTTTGTAATTTATTTAATATATATTTTGTTGTGCATTTTTCTTTTAATTTTGTTTTGTAATTTAATGTAATTTAAGATCATACCCTGGACCCCAGGGAAGAACAGTGTAACAATACTAAGTACCCAGGATAAAGAAAGATTTCTATCTCTATCTACCTTTTTAATCTTTTAACTCTCCTGAATGTTTTTGTATTTGTATTAATTATGTAGTTTTATATTTTTATATTATTGCTTTTACGTATATATATTTGGTGATCTTTAAAATTAAATTTAAGACAATTGAAAGTCCTTTAATAGACTACATTTATTTATTTTTATTTAAATTATCAAACATCAAAGTGGGCCATATGAAACAAGCCCATTTCAGAACCACCTTGTCATGAAGACCTACAACATACAAAACAATATACAATATTTCATTGTCAGTGAAGCTCTCGTTAATAACACCTACAGTATCCTACTCAGGCTATTGTTTACTATTCATATTTAATTCATTTAAAAACCTGTTCCTCAATTGTTACTTCCTATAGAAACGTCATTTTCATAGACTAAGAAATCTACAATAGTTTTTGAATATGAAGCCAATAAAATGCAAATATATACACAGATATTTATGTAATAATTGAGGGCATATTCCACAAATTATCCTTAAGGATAAGCAAATTCTGGTGGAAACTTTGGATTGAAAACTTTAGATTTTAAATCTGTAAGTTGATAGTGTCATACTTTAAAAGTTTAATGTGTGGAATTCACCCATTTGCTGAATTCCATAGCAAATCCCCATTATCAGCAAACTGTTATGAAAACCGAAGAACTAATCTGGCAAATCATGAGCACAATGAAGAAGGGACGCTCCAATGACTCCAATCAATTGATTGATATTTCGGGCAGATTCGTAACTAGTCACAGCTTTCTGTCACTCGTTTGTTCTTCTCATTTTATAAGAATAACAATAACCTACCTATGTATACTACAAATTGGCAAGAAGACTACAGATGTCATGCTAATTTTGCATTAGAAACCCTAACTTTAGTTTGTCACTAGTTTGACATTATTTCATAAAATATTTCATAATTCGCCATCCTTATAGTTTTACAATTTTGTATACATGTTGGTAGTGGGATTAATTACTGTATTATTTAAGACAATGATCAATTACATTGTTTTCTCACATTCGTCAAATTATTAAATAAAATCATAATTGCTATCACTGTTGCTATCAACATCATCATTATAATAATAAACCATCTTTATCATCATCATCTCAATAATGTTTTCCTTATAATTATTATCATAAAAATGACATAAGTGTTAATCTCTTAGAAGCAAACATGGTCTGTTTCAGAGGAAAGTGAGCATTATTTTGTTTTTGGTATTTTTATCATGCAAAGGGTGCTATAGCCTATAAATATGGTAAATAAATGAATAAGATGAAAAGACACAGATGTGTTGACTGGCATTTACAGTAGTGTGTTTAGAAAGATATTTTCTGAATGTTACCAATATTGCTTAAATGAAATTTAACTGTTCTCTTAGGGATTTGACTATATGATGCGATGGAGCAACCTACTCCACTCCATATTGATTACAGCATTAGTTGCGCAAGATCAGATTCTGGGCAAAACAAAAAAAAAAACCTTATTATTTATTGCAGTGGTGGCTCCAGAAATTTGCCAACAATAGGTCCGACAGGTGGTATGAGCCAAGGGGCCTACAGTACTGGAGCCTTGGAATAAAATGCCTGGTAGGTTTCATGTGGAGAGTTTTTCATGTTTTAGTAGAGACCGCAATACTATATTAGGAATTGGCAATCAAAACAAAGTTTTTTTGATAATTTGCTAATTATTGTTTTGGTCTGACAACCCTGTTGTTGGCTAAACCAGGGTCCAGGCCTATTGGATGAGTGGGGAAATGCCTGCTTTGACTGGTGCCATTTCTGCTTTATTCATGGAGACACACACTAGAAACAAGGTGACAAAAACAAATCCACAGACCATTGTTGTGTCATTTGTACAGTATCCATACCTCTTGGTGAAAAAAACAATATATGAGCCACAGACTTGAACCCACTACTCTTGTAGAGAAAGCTAAATACCGCACTACTATTAAACTAAATTAAATAAAACCTTAACATATTGCAGATTATGTTTCAATATTGAGCAATGGCAACCTTTGACCTTCATAAGCTTATCCCTTTAATGATGCCCTTTATGATGTTGTTATCTATTATATTACATCACTGGTACAGTAGAAACAGTTGTTTACAAAAAAAATATGATGTTTATATATTGTACAGTGTCAGTACCATGCTGTGATGGGAGTATACAGTAGATCATAAGAAGTAATATTAAAGGAGAATTTTATCAATTTTATATAATTTGACAACTCATTTTTAATAGCATACTCAACAGTTACAAACTTTTTTAAATTATGAATATTGTGCGCACTCGTTACTTAGAAGTTCTCAACTAGTTTAGTGACAGGCCATTGTAATGAAGAGAGGTTTAAGATGGTTCATAAGTTCTTCGTATTATTAATATCCATGTATTCATATAAAATAACATCGAATGGCTCAGGTAGACAAAAAGAATTAATTGTAGACCTACAGTAGATTAAGAAGGCATTGAATGTTGAAAAGTGACACCATTTCTGGCAGGTTAAATTGTGGAAGTTATCGCTAAGTTAATTAACAGAAATCAGTATAGAATATGTAATATACTGTATTGTCTACTACCACTCATTATCTTGTGGATTTTATGAAACATGACTGTGTTAATTGATTCTGGGAGGAAATTTGTTTTGATCAGTTGACTACACAAATAATAACAAATATTCTCCATTTATCATTCCTATTATTGGTAGTTTTCTATCTAAATACTAAGTCATTATAAACAGTGTGTCTGATATGACATTGTGGTGTCCCTCATGTGAGGAATTTGGGTTATAATTCGTTTTTTTTTTTATCCACTTTATTCCAATATGGAAATACGCAGATGATTTAAGTATCAGGTAGTTAATTCTAGAAGGGGTCATAAGCAGAACAAGCAATTGATTCTTGATATAAACTTGTATTGTAAGAGTACAAATATGATTTCCAAACTAAGTATCATTATTATGAGTGTCCATTTTGCCAAACTCCCATACAACACAATTTCCACCCTTTGTTGACTAATTGATTCTTTAAAATTAAAATTCTTGAATGAATTTTAAAATTAAAATTCTTCAGTGTTTAGTAAATCATTTTAAAGCAGGCTTAGAGAAAGTCTGGTCTGGCCACCACCTTAAATTTTGCCCGTATATGACCGAAGAGGATTCGATAATGATTGAGGGACAAATGAGCTTTGATCTCTAAGTCTCGAAGATTCAAGGTAAATTCAAGGTAAGGTAATAATACAAAGGCACCTGAAATGAGTCGGTGTGATGCTCCAAAAGGAGTTTACTAATTAATTAGCCAGATCCAGTCTCTAATAAAACTTTAAAGAGATCCTTTACTCTTCTATTCTCAGACAAAGGCACTGTTATGATTTTGTTTGCATTTTAACAAGCTACTGTATGTTGGTCCTATTTTTAAAATGCAAGTCCTTTGTGGTATACACTCATTCATTGACAAACAGTTTCGAAACATTCATTATTTATTTCTTTGACAATAATTAAAGAATAGAATTAGTAATTAGACAACTATTAATTATGGATTACAGCAGTTGTTCCAAACATTTTTGCGTTTGCGGACCCATCTGGATGTCAACAGTCTTCACGGACCACATGTCTAAAGATTATTCATTGTCTATCCCAACATTTAGAGATTATAGATAAAAGATGGTTTGCCACGAAAGTAAAATATTAAACAGTGGCCTAGGCCTACAGTATAGTAGCCTACTGTAGATGCTGCTCCAGCAACAGAGGCTAGGCTGCTGTAAGCCAGGCTTAGGCTAGGAATATGCCAGCAACAAGAAGAGCGACCAAGCCTAGGCTAGGTACGTTACAAAGCGTGACGTCACACTTGATTGTTTTGGTTAGACGTTCGCGGCGACCGTGAACTTCCGGTTCACGGTGTTGGGTTTTAAAAAAATCGTGAAAATTACGTTTCTGATTAAAAATCGATTATGTCATGCATTTTTAGGCAGACAAAAGGTTAAAGAACAGTCACGCATTTGTTTTGTGTTCATTCATTGTTTATTTCCGCTGCAGTTGACGTCCGAAGTTACTACTCGAATAAAATCAACTTTTGCTGTTAAAAAGGTACATGGTTTTTCTAATTATTATAACAGTAATTTAGAGAAATAAGTAATTAACATTTTGACCAAATATGAAAGAATTCTGACGACAACCAAGTGGTTTTTGTAAGCTGGCAAATCTGCTATGATTTACGATCGCTTGGGTAAAATGGCGTCTAATGTCAAAATGATCGCGACGTCTGTATACTATAATGCCGTTGTCTTATAAACGCTGATACACTGAGACGCTGATACACTGGGACGTTGATACGCTGAGACAAAGATGACGTCATTGAAATTCACCGCAAAGTCATAATGCACTGAGTGGAATCGAAAGTGCAGGGTTCTCAAGTACTGTACCTGTCTCTTATACACATCTAGATGTGTATAAGAGACAGATACTACGGAAATACATATAAACTACGGAAAATTACAATAGAGCCCATATTTATGGGAAAGCCCCAACATTTCACGATAATTCATAAAGTAAAATCAACGATCCACTCCACGTACGAGTTAAAAATACGTAACAGTCTGCTAGCTCAAACAAAAGCAAACAGAACAATACAAGCAGTGGTGTGGTGAGCGTGATGGCCAATCAGAATCGTGTTTAGAGCAAGAAGTCATGACCTTATATTATGCAAAAACTTTTTCGATGCTAAAAATAACAGTCTACTCAATTTGCATTGCAACAACAAAC